CATACATACACACACATATACAAACATACACACACACACCATCACACACACTCATACAAACACACACACACACTATCACATCCCCCACTCACACACACACACACACACACACATACACACACACACACGCACACACACGCACACTCACTGTGCATTTCGCCCCTCCAATACGGCCTCCACCTGTTGCACTATGGACTGTGCTGTTGTCCCCTCGTACTCATACACAACAGGCAGCACGCCAAACAGCACCGCATCCAGGAGCAGCTGAAAACACAGAACACAGACACAGTCATGACACATGTTCAGCACAGACACAGTCATAACACATGTTCAAAGTGCATATTTACTGTACATAGAAGACTGACTCTATCATGACACAACATCATGACACAAGGCTACTATCACAATATACTGTCAATATCACAGCACACTGTTCCTGGCATGACACACTGCCACTGTCACAATACATTGTCACTGATACAAAATGCTGTCACTGATACAAAATGAAATGCTGTCACTGTCAAACACACCGTCACTATCACAAAACAACGTCACTGTCACAACACACTGTCACTGTCACAGCCCACTGTCACTGTCACATACACCTTCACTGTACACTATCTATGTATAATTTACTGTACACTGTAAACATACACATTGACTGTACACCATTAACATACACTTTCAATGCACACTGCCAATGTACACCTTCACCCATACTCCATAAATGTACATCTTTCCAACACCCCATCAATGTACACTTCCAAAGTAATAATAATTTGTATAGCGTAAATCCCCTACTCAACAGCAAGCTTTTTGGGCTTTGCAATCTATATTACTACCCCAGCAGACCTGATAGAATTCTGAAACAATCTCAACTTTCTGGGAAGCACACAGTGCAAGCTGCAATTTATAGGCGCTAAAACACTAACATGCTGACGACAAGATCTTCCGTTGTCTATGGCTAGGTACCCATTCCTACCTGAGTGAAGTGAGGATACAACGTTGGGCCTGTGGCCTGAACCCCTGAACCTGTAACCTTACAATTACAAATCTGGTAGCCTAACCACTAGGCTACCAACACCATCAACGCACTCCTTTACTGGGCACTGTTAACCATACACCTTCACTGTACACCGTCAATTTACACCTTCACTTTAAACTGTCTGTGGTGAAGTGGTTAGGTATTTGTGGTTGCCTAAAAAAACCTGAGTTCGATTCCAGGTGGGGAGAATTTTTATTGAATATCTCAGTCTTTGTCTAGGAACAATGTGTCCTTCTCAGCCCAGGTTGGGCAAAGCCTGCCTCATTTAAGATCTAAATTGTGCCAAAGGGGATGTAAAAACACCAACATTTTTTGTCGATGTGCACCTTCATTGTACAGCAACACTGTAAAAAAAAAGGTATGGGTTTGACATCTCTGTCAATATTATTAGCCAGGACCTTTAAATTTAACGTCTGTCTCCGATAAGATCAGGCCAAATGGGCTATGATCCACAAAAATGCTTTTTGAATAAAAAGACCCGAGTTCAAGAACGTCCAGTTTGGGCTTTGAAACAGGCTATTTACTCTATAGCCCAGCATGATACCAACTGAGCTAACAGAGCACCCATACCAACACTGTACATCAAACATGATTATTACCGACATCAATTTGATATTTCATCAAAAACTGCATTACTTTGGACTTGGTTACACTTATGAAACCTACATAATTTTCGCAACCTCTATATTCACAATCCAGCATTATTTTCCTTTACACCCACAAAACTGAAGTTATTTTCTTCTACATCTACAAAACTGCACCAACAGAGGGGAGACAAACCTCTGCTCCAGGCACCCGTGATGAGATGATCACGACACGAGGGTTGACACTCGTAAAGCTTCCCCCAATCTGGATGGTTTTTTTGGAGTGAGCAGGAGCAAGACGGAAACTGGGGAGCAAAACAAAACAACAGGATAAATAGATAGATAGATGGATGAATAGATGGATGAATAGATGG